TGTGAATATCTATTTTATATGTATTTGAATGGTTACCTCTGTGGTTTATGTCTGTGCAGCTTAAGAGTAAAGCCATCAATTGTACATTTCTGATGTTATGGGTAATATTAGGCAATTGAGGCGCACACATATCCATCAGCAGATCATCACAGTGGTTGGAAAGGGAGTCAGCAGCTTCATCCTCTTTTACAGCAGCGGTAAGAGGCATCTCATTTACGTCATACAAGAGAACAAGGGGGATGAACAAGCGCATCTACAGGGTACTGTTGCCAAGCCACACGCAACTTGACAACCATTTTTCACCAGAAGCACACAACAATGCCACTCCACATTTAATGACCGCCATCCTTTCAACGAAATGGCGCTATCCTCGATTGCAAGCTCCGGAAACTGGTATCTGTAAATTAAGTAAATTACGAATGATTGCGTGCTCTTTCCTGGCATACCACTACCGAGAGAGCAATCAAGTCATCAACTCCCCGATCTTGTCTATACGGCAAAAACCAGGAAAGCAAAAACAGGCTTGGGATTGTCATGGCAACAGTCTTGCTAGTCAGTGTGGTTACAGTGTCAGGGGGATAATCTAACTTGCTGGAGAGAGGCGGAATATGGATGCGAGGATGAGGCTTTCACAGTTTATTTACTGCTGTTTACAATGTATATTCATCCCCGTGGATTTGGATTTATTTTGGCAGTAAACCTTAATGTCAATCAAAGTTATACTGTCAGCGGGCATTACTCTCCTATTGCTTATGATGGTCAAAGCTTTAGGTTATGTGAAAGCTTTGCAACCTGGAAGTACAGTTATTAACATTTGTTGAAGAAAACCGGAAACAACATAAACAGACGCTTCTTCTTGCTGTCATTACAAGCAACAAAGGTGTATCAATCCCCACGCTATCGCATCGTGTCACTTCCTCCGCAACAGCATTTGCGTTCCTGCACGACCGCGGTGAAATCGCAAAACACTTTTTCACTTCTTATCGCCTGCTTGTTTTACTAGTGCACTGTGCTGTTATTTACAGGCATCCACATATATCCCAGCACAGTGTGACACATCCCGAGTCCCTCCCCGGCCACCCCCTGCTGATCCCCCCCCCCCCCCACCCCTGTCTCTTTCTTATCTGGCTCCTATCCAAAGGCATCGGTTGAGGACAGGATTATATTGAGAGTTGTTAATAATTGCATCTCTCACTTCCTCTTCTTCCACCTCCACAGTGCCTCTTGCACTGTCTGCTGGGCGCCTCTCTCCTGAGAAAGAAGGCTTACGGTATAAGAAGCAACAGCTAATGTGAGAGAGATAGACTCTAATGATCATTATAAACATAAACATCACAAATCTGTTTTTGCAATACCTGTATGGAATTATCTCTTGCGATTACTTGGTCATAAAAAAATGAATGTATTTGCTGAAATTGTTAGTTAATGACAGTGATGCAGGGCAAGAAATAGGCTAATGGTCATACCAGACCAAGTATGGCTGTAGTAGGACAATATTTATCTAAAGTATGCTAACATTAGCCAACAGTAGTAACCAAATGCAACTGGTCACACTAGATCAAGTAGCCTAAGGATGTTGCAGGCTACATTAGCCTCATACCAGACCTAGTACAGAATCCAGAAAGTGTTATATTTATGAAGTAAACTTTTAATTTGTAAAAAGCACAATGCATTTGTCTATATTCACTCACAAAGTCTTTTAAGTCATTTAATGACTGTACTGTATTTTGTTCTTTATTATTCTAACTATCTACAACAATACACGAAGCACTGCTCCGCAGTATTATACACGTCAATAAAACCCATAATCTTGAATGTAATATACAGTATTAGGATAGACAAACTGAAGAGATCTTCCCTCATCCCGTACAGTAACAGCATTCATCAATCAATCAGTCAAATTTTGACGACAGCAGAAGGGAAGTGTATTTCTAGGTAATATTTCTCGCTGAAGATAGCGGAAATGAAAGGCAAAAGGGAATAAATACAATCAAAAAGCAATAACCTGACCCTCTAATGGAGCCTGAGAGGGCACCAAAATAAATACAGACATATGTGTGTTTCCACTGACAGCTAGACAAATTAATAACACATGATACAGACACCTTAACCCCTTCACTGCGGCTGGCACCGCATCAGGTGAGCGAAACCATATGGAATATATGAAAGCCAGATTTCAATATTGTTCTATCAATCTGCCTCGTATGATTGGATTACTTTACGGCTTCCGGATATCCCTGGGAGACTGACAGACAAAAATATTGGATATAGCCGCTCCAGAAAACTGATTTAAATTGTGTTTATTAGATTTAAATTCCACCTTTATCCTTTGGTAATGACTCTTTCTTCCATGTATGTTTTGTTTCATATCTCTGTGTGATGCAGGAAAAGTCGGTGACGGAAGCAAAACTGAAAATTAGGGCTGTCAAACGATTACAATTTTTAATCAGATTAATCACAGCTTAAAAATTAATTAATCATGATTAATCACCATTTGAACTATGTACAAAGATGCCATTTCTTTATGTATATTGTTGTGGGAATGGAAAGATAAACGAAAGAAGGCGGATATATCCATTTAACATACAGTAGCCTATGTATGTATGTTTATTATAACATTGTTCTGTGTGTCAAAATGAAAGTCGGCCCACACACCTATCAATCATCAAACCGTGGGGTCTTATTTCATTATGTGTTGATTTCTATCAACACGGGGGGGGGGGGGGGGGGGTGATCTAACCGCCTTCTGGAAAAGCTTCACAAGTACTTCGGTACGCAAATGCGCTTTGTGACACAAGTGACGGAAAGCATTTCAGATTGTTGCCACGCATGCGTACCTGCGTACCAGTTATGTGCACCTACTACAGCAGAAGTATTCTCCGTCGGGACAACACCACGCCGTTATCTTGATTCTGATTGGCCAGAAGACATTATCAAAGATGTTCTATTGAGAAGACGATCACTACGTGACAAAAGTTTTCAAAACCGTTTCTGGTCTTCGGTATTTCCAGACAAGTGGCTACTGAAATCAATCTTACTAACTGCCGTCTGTGCAATTTACTCGGCGCGTGTTGGCGGACTTTATTTTGCTTACTTTAACATCATTTTTTGTTGCGAACCACCACAATTATTTGTTGCTTGCACATTGTGTGTGTATGTCATTCTTGAAGCTTTATCCTAACTGAGGGAGCTAGAGACAGACAGTCAGACAGGTAAGGGGGAGAGGCCTGCTGGGTTAACTCCTCAACCGTTCCTGTTCCTGTTCTGTCAGCAAGCGCTACGTCTCTCCAAACCCCTCTCCCTGGACTTCGCACCTGCTCCCAGGCATGGCAATGAGCCTCCACACACACATGGAAAGCTGGGACGGGTCCATGTAATAAGATGGAAAGAGTAGAGAGAGGTGTGGTGGATAAGCAGCTAGAGAGGGGAGGCGGGGCAGACAGAGATGCAACAATAGGAAAGGGAGGCGCGCTGGGGAATGTGGCACAGAAAAGTTGCGAAAGATGGCAGGATGATTCAAGAGTGGAGCAGTCAGAGCAGAGGGAAGTTGGGGGGAGACGGAGGTGATGTAGGAACACAAATGATTGATGCCAAGGTTGGTTTGGGAGTGGAAGAAGGAAAACCCAACTAGAAGTGAAAAACATGAAACGGATGGAAAGAGAGAAAATATGGCAAAGTTAGGACAGGCTACGCAATACTCGGCATGAATTTTAATAAAGCCATTAATTCCAGAAGTGGTTAAGCAAACAGACATTAGAGTCTCCACTACTAGCTGCATTTAAAAGGGTTAAAAGAACATACAGTATTTTAATTAGCCATTACAGAATCCATCTACTTAACAGCAGGAGGTTAAACTTGAAGCTAAGTGCTGGCCTACGAGTCAGCCCTTCATCACTCTGTGCTCTATGTGAAGCGACGCCATTTCTGTCGTCGCTCTGATTTGAACAAACGGCCCTCGCTCTGGCATTCAGAAAGGTCACAAGCTGTTGATATAAAGATATGCTATCTGAGCGATACCAAACGGTTCATCTGAAGCACAGGTGTCAGTCCGGAAAACTGACTTTAATGTCCCCACCAAGCGTACTGTACAGAAGACGAAGGATACTCAATACAAATGAACAGCATTGTGCCGTTATGCTCAAACATATTTTAATATTATTTCACTCCTTTCAGGCAAATCTAAGATAATACAGGCTGCTATGGACTTTGTTGAAATAAAACCTTTGTTCCAATGGAATTAAAAACTGCGAGGTGAAGTAAAAAAAAATTAAAAGCAGACCAAATGTAATTATTGTCTTAATTAATACATTTAACTGTTGTTATATGCAAAACTATAGTACTGAATATGGCTGTAAGACATCATACATATTAATTAGCACAGCAACATTATCCACTACTTAAAAATCTAGAAGGTTTTTTTGATGAAATTGTCATTACATGGAATGTTTTATAATGATTGTAATAAACTGTGTGATTCTTTTATTTTAATGACCAAAACTGAACCATTAAACTTAATAGGTAAAGTTGAATTCCATGTGTAGTGTGTATTTTGGAAGTACAAATACTCAATGCTTTGAGAGCAGCTTCAACAGAGGACAGGATACCTTGGTGAGTTAATCTGACCCTTAGTACTGCATCACCAATAAAGCCTCAGTGTTTTCTATGTGAAGTTCCCATGTCCCCCCCCCATGTTTATGTGGCTCTTGTTAAAAGGTTACGGTTTTTACTCAGACTGGGCATGAAAGGTGTCACACCACCACGACGTACCGACAAACTCCCTTCTTTCTATACTACCTCCAATCATCAGTTTTACACATATCAATGTTTACCCTGTTAGTTTTTCCCTTTAGACTTTAAACACAGACCTTAATGAACACACCTCTGAAACCTTGGGATTCAATACCCGTAAAGCACTGCTGCCGTATTTAAGATCAACCGATCGTGGCGACCTCCAATATGACATAGAATCCAGCAACAGAGTTATCTTAGGTGTGACTTACCTATTGTTCTCTCTGGTGTCCCTGCAAGACTCCATCAGGGATTGATCCTCAGCCAAGGAACAGGACACTGGAATCAAACTGGACTCAGGACTCAAGCTGCGTGGAAACAGGTTACATTGCGGTCTGAATTGTCACTTATCCAACAATAATCAGAAGGGCTACATGGACTTTAATTTCCTCTCACAAATGTGAACAGGTAGTTTTATTAAAGTTTCACAAGTTACAACACCACACATCAATCAAAAATGAAATGCGTTTTTGCCCAGATACTTATTATATCCGAGATCTTTGCCTCAATACCAGTAAGTAATACGATCGTCTTCCGTTGCTTGCTAAACAAGCTGGAGAGCTCAAGTTCGAACTGGGTTCGAAGAGGAACTGCTCTCCTGCTTCTTCAGTATTATTTTATCCTCTTCTTTCCAGCGGCTTGTCACATGGTCTGACACGTGGTTTGACACGTGGTTTGCGTGTAAGCTGGTGCGTTTAGAGGTGTCCTTCTTCGTTGCTGTGGTTAACTGTTCACTTTCAGCGAAGAAATACATAACAGATGTTCTCCTCGAAATGGGAAGTGCATAGAAAGTTGCGTACTTTGCAACACGGGTCTTTATGAGCACCCATGTCAGGATTTCTGTTATACATCCTGTTTATATTGCTAAAGCATTAAACTATACGATACATGACTATGGCATTCAGAGTTTTAACACAGTTTTTAGCATATTTAAGCTTTATATAATAAAATAAATTGTTCCATTTTCTTCCTCTCTTCAACATCCTCCTTTGGAACTATGTATTTTCTTCTCTTCTTTCTTTCGTGTAACGTCAGAGGTCCAAGTTGGTGTCATGTAGCCACGACTCCTACTTCATCCTAGGTCTTGGTACCCGTCCTCCCGGTACACTTCTGTCTCCCGGGTGACCTGTGTAGACTCTTCCATCATGACCACTTATGAAAGCTTCATCCCATCCGGCCCATGCACTTCCACATTTGTCTCGGACCTCTTCGTAGCATCCCTCTCTCTTTGGGTCTGTCAGCATATACTTGTTACCACATCCATCGTCAGTGATAGCAAAATATGAGCTGTCGGAGTTGGTTTTGAAACATGTCACTTGGAGGCTTTTGATTCCCCCCCTTGTGTTTAATTCTTTGTCACCTTTATTCTGCCACATCATTGCTGAGCGATCAAACAGAACTCGGTGCCAGTTTTCATCATACTTCCAGATGTAAGGCAACTGGGTGAGGCCTCTTGTCCCATTGTGGAATCCCGCGAGAGTGTCCCAGTTCTGTGGATCGGAAAAGTACCTGATGGCACACTTTCTGTATCCTCCGGTGGGACTATGGGTGTACAGCACTATTCTTCCTATGGTTTGGTCATTATTCGGGCGCCAGTCATCCCCGTCCTCATTCCCTGGGAGAACAAATGGGTTGTTCTGGCTTCGGAAATCATTTTCTTCTGAAACCTTTTTCATCAGAGGTTTCAAGGCATCCCGTACTTGTATATGCACGGGAGGTTCTTCATTGTCCAGCCATTTCCCGTATGGTGGACATCTTTCTTTTGGGCAGATGAAGTAGTCGCCTTCCCATGTGGCTACCACCCATCCTGGCGGGACTCTACATACTCCCCTGCCCATGACGCACACAGTCTTGCGTCCGCTGGGTCACATTGCTTTTTTGTCTTATCTGTGCATTTGGAGGTGACTTGTTTGCTCACCTTTTCTTCATCTTTGTGGGGGGTTTGGCCAATATCTTTTAGTTGTTGGGCTGCGGCGTCTTGCATTGTTTTGGGTATTGGGGCCTTGGTTCCAGGGCCATCAATTTGGATTTGTTTACTGGGTGGCTCACCTTTGTTAGAGCTTTTGACCTTCCTCTGGTATTTCTTCGTTTCTTTTGGCGGATATTCAAAACAGGTTTTCCCACCTCTGCTCCTTTTTCCTCCATCAGTTGGTGCCTGGCTTGTGGATTGAGCCAGTGTGTTGACCTGATCGAGGAGAGACGGGGTCTAAGTCTGGGTGATAGGGTTGCCTCTGAAGGTCCATCATTTTTTGGGTGATGAGGGGTACCTCCTCGCTTTGTTCTATTTTCTCCAGGGTCCAAAGCTCCAAGGGCTGAAGTTGTTTTGGAATGTCTCTTCCTGCTGGTTCCCTTCTGTCAGTCCCTTCATCACATTGGTCCACTTCATTAGATATCCTGGGTGGATTGGCGCTCCCGGGTCTATCAGGCTTGTTTCCCCCGAGCTGTCCGTCCACAATTTTGGTTACTGAGGGCTGTGGAAATGTTGGCCAGTTGATGTTGAGGTTTGTCGACATAATGGGAGATATCCCCTTCTTCAAGGGTATGAGGGGAGGACAGGAAAGATGGCAATGATCCTGGTTCTCCATCTGCCAGTAGCTCTGGGGTCCAGATTTGTTTGGTTCCCTCGCCCCGAGGTTCATTACATTACATTACATTGCATTTAGCTGACACTTTTATCCAAAGCGACTTACAATAAGTACATTCGACCAGGAAGACACAACCTTGAAGAAAACAGAATCATATAAGTACATCAGGTTTCATAGAGCCAAACATTTCAAGTGCTAATCAACTGGCTTTAGGTAAGCCAGTCCTTTATTAGTATAAAAGTGCTTCGTTAATAGTTCTAACGCTCGAAGTGGAGTCGAAAGAGATGAGTTTTCAGTTTGCGCCGGAAGATGTGCAAGCTATCTTCAATCCCATCATCGCAATCAATGGGGACCCACTGGTCCCGGTTTGGTTTGATTCCAAGTGTATCGTTGTCTGCCATTCTGGTTTCCAGGTAGTTTGCTTTCTTTGTACAATTTGTATTATTTCTTCTGAGCTTCCTGGTTTAGTGAACACTTGTATTGTTCCCTCTGTATCACAGCAGGGACAGATATTTATTTTCCCTGATGAACTGTGGAGGTTAAGCTTATGTTGATGATATACTGACTGGAGTACGCCTCCCTGCAGATCTTCCTTCTGTAAAATATACATAGCAGATCATACAAGTTACTCCCGGCTGTCCTAGGTTATTCAGTGTGATTACCACGAGGGCTAAGCCTAACCCCTGTTTAAGAAATACATAGAGACGCCGTTTGCTTCTCTTGTGCTTGCATCTGTTCGCTGCCCATATCAGGTAGGTGATAACGGTCGACCCTATTATCAGGGTGAAACAGACATCCACCAACCAGACGGGTCTCAGATAATATTCAAACAGATAGCAAGTACATGATACCACATACAACCTGTAATTTACTGGGCTCCATAAGGGTAGTTGTAGCTTCTTTTGCCCCATGCACATGAATATTAGGCTGCCTGATGCATTCCTTTTCCCCGTCGCAAACCATCTCTCAATATTCACCAAGCTATAAATTACTGCTGCAAACAACCATTTTGCCACGCTCTGATAACAAAAAGAGGTAATTACACTTGACATGCACACGTATCCTAATGCAGTAAGTAGTTGCCTTACCACAGTGATGTCTATGTGGCTGCCTGTATTGCCGGTGATGTTCATTCGTTGCGTTTGATTTTGCATTCTCCTGCCAGCTGTTTTTCTGGGTTTTGTGGTTTCTCAGCTGTCTCCTCAGTTGTCTTGGCTTTTCTGTGCTCCTCAACTCTCCCGACCTTATCTTTATACTGAGTCTCCTCCTCCTTTCTTCCTCTTTCTAATTTCCCCGTTTTCTTGCTAATCTCGGGGGCTTCGGGGTTTGCCCCTTACTTCATATTTATTTTTCCGTCTACACATACTGCTGCAGATTCTGCTGCCGAACATTTTGCAGAAGAAATACAATATTACTATTCCTATTAATACACCCACGAATAGTCCTAGTGCCACTTTTTGCACGATTGAAAATACCATTTCAACTACAGGTTTGACCACATTATCATAACCTGCCTTGGCTACCATCACTACTCCTTTTCCAGCCTCTGTTGCTACTTTCATAAAACTTTGACCGGTTCTCCATAGTACATTGGATAGAGTAAAATCATTACTTCCGTCTCTGGTAGTCCAATATGGTGTACACATTCCTTTATGATGTATTTTCCAAAAGGGGTGTTATTCACCATTGGGGTATGTGTTTGACCAATCTATTTCTGCGATTTCCATAACTGATGGGAGTAGTGCGAGGCTCTGTCTTGACATTGGCGTAATTGGCGCCAGGCCCCACATTTGTTCCTGCGGCTACTGCTTCACATTTCCTTTAAGAATTACAGGGGCCTCTGGTGTTTTACACAGGCTCAGAAATAGAGCCGCTCTTCCACCTAACGTTGTTCTGTGGGGGCTAAGGGAGGGATATTTGTCAGAGTCAAACACTATGAGTCTATCCATCCTTGCCCTGGTTACCGCAACATATCTTCCCGTTCTTATGTCTTTGGTGGCCGTTCTTTCAGTAAATTCTGACCGCCATATAAATGAACCTTAATTTGCAATGTTTGTGCCATTAAGGAATCTAGGGGATGCTATACATGCTTCAAAAGGATCTATTGGGGCTGTCCTTCTTTCTGGGGTATGTCCAGGAATGTTCGTCTCCCTATCACTTTTGCATCAAATATGGCAGCCTCATATGCCGTCACAGTGCTACCTCCATAGTCATATGAATAATAGAAATCCCCTTTTTTCCAATGAGAGTTTATTTCGTGTCTATACCCATATTTTAGTCCTTTGATCCAATTCTTCAATGTATGCACATTCTTTGCCGGGGGGTTGTTCATTAGGTTTACTAAGGTATACAGTGGGGCAAAAAAGTATTTAGTCAGCCACCAATTGTGCAAGTTCTCCCACTTAGAAAGATGAGAGAGGCCTGTAATTTTCATCCTAGGTACACTTCAACTATGAGAGACAGAATGGGGGTAAAGAATCCAGGAAATCACATTGTAGGATTTTTTAATGAATGAATTGGTAAATTCCTCGGTAAAATAAGTATTTGGTCACCTACAAACAAACAAGATTTCTGGCTCTCACAGACCTGTAACTTCTTCTTTAAGAGCCTCCTCTGTCCTCCACTCGTTAACTGTATTAATGGCACCTGTTTGAACTTGTTATCAGTATAAAAGACACCTGTCCACAACCTCAAACAGTCACACTCCAAACTCCACTATGGCC